ATTCGTTGGCTCATCTCGTAGCCCAGTCCAGTGTTAGGCGTGCGCTGCTGGGAATATCCGGTCGTCTGGTCATCACAGAGTCCACTGAGATGACTGAGCACTCCACTGCACAGGGCACGGTCCGAGTAGCCTCCTTCAAGTACAGAAACGATACGGCCCTCAGTGCCAGTCTCCTCGTCTTGAGCCATATTGACAACATCGCGGGTGAAACGGGCATAGAACTCGGTAGGCACGTTGACTTTGTGTCGCTGCATGCCCTCAGTCTCATGTTCGCTGGCATCGAAACCTGCCGACAGGAAAATCGCAGCCTTGGGTCGGAGTGCACCCTTTGGTAGAGCACGGATACGGGCTGAGTGCTGCTTCAAGAAGACGCGAGCCTTTTCAATCAGAATCTGGTATCGGGCCTCGTACAACGCCCAGAACTCGACTTGTGTCCGCCAGGGCTGAAGATGGATGTTCCAGATAGTCTGATTGTGTGCATTTTCAATGCAGAGGCTAGCGTTCTGAACCTTCTCCTTATCACCATCCTCGCAAGGATACGAATTGATGTCGTGCAAACTGAAATAACCGATGGAAGTTCGCTTAGAGGCTGGTGCATTCTTAGGCAACTTCGAGATCTTGGCGTTGTGTGACCAGGTAATGTCTTGGGATCCATCGCCGTGATGCAAATCAAAGTCGATGATCGCGGCGTGAGTCAAGCCGTGGGTGATTGCAGCGTACTCAATGCCCACGTGGACATTGTTCAGCCAGCAGAAGCCAGATGGGAAGTCCGCAGAGCAGTGATGACCTGGTGGGCGGACGGTGACGAAGGCGCGGGACGGTCCTGTTCCCGACAGCGTTCCATGGAAAACTGCGTCCACTCCCTCAAATACCCCTCCGAGAGCGCCTTGAAGAGCGTTCAGAGACTCAGAGCAAAGATACAGATCAGTGGGGTGGAAGTTCGGCTTCTTGACCTTCGAGATCTTAGGGCCGTCGATTCTGCCCAGCTCCTTCTCTTTACCATTACCGGCGAGCTTCGTCTCGGCAGTGTCACACATTGTCCTGAGCTCGTCCATCCAGTCCGTACCATGCACATTCTTGACAACGGCTGAGGTAATGTCAACAGAGCGATCGGTCTTGCGGATCCTGAACGGGATGTCCTGGCTTGGGTCGCGGTTCGGGTGCGGTGGATGTTGTCCCTCAGCATGGCGGCCTCCAAGCCTAACATAAGCGACTGAGACTCCCAGTGCCGTAGCTAACAGTCGCTCTGGACGCTCCACGATAGTCATCAGATCTGCTGAGCCAGTCTTCGGACGGGAGAATCTGTGGCCATAGCACTGGTCGTGGATGATGACCACCGTGTCTGTGTGTCCCGCTCCTGACGACTCCTTGTGTAGCTCCAACTCTTTGCTGAAGTACTCTTGCGCGATCTCTGACGCCGTGAGCGGCGCCTTTTCCTCCATCTGGGCGGCGAGTGGAGATGGTGCAAAGCCAGGTGATTGTTGGTTGGAGGGGTTGAATGAGGCGCGTCGAGAGGACGACATCTGCGAGGGAGCTCGGCGCGGGGTCGCCGGTGATTCGCCGTTGCGCAAGGAAGAATTCGAGATCTTTCTACCGAGCGCGGGTGAAGCTGAACGCCCTGACAAGCTCATGGTGCTGGAGCTACGGCGGAGCGGGCTTGAGGGTGCTCTGTGAGCGCTCGGGGAGGTTCCGAAGCGCTGATGGTCAGTGACGCGCAGCGGAGAGCTGTTGCCTCCGGGTGAAGGTGGGAGAGGGGTGTTGGACGCTGTAGAAAGCGACAGGCGGGTGTGGACGTTGTTTGTTGACCGACCTCGCGGGTTGGCGACAAGGGGGTCGTTGGGCGGTGGATTCTGCATCGTGGCAGACGGACAGTCGCGTGCCCAGCGACAGTAGCGGGTTGAATGAGAAGTGTGTCTTGTCTGGTGTCTCGCAGACAGAGACGACACAAAGTGGTGGAGGTGTTGTGGACTACGCGATGACGCTGGCGCGTTGCGGGAGATAAAGTAGGACGGCAGAAAGCTAGTCCCAGTCGTTCGACCGTCGGCCAGGAAGCGAGACGCATGCACGCTCCTTTTAGTCTATAACGATATAGGGCTGACGGCCCGACTTTGCGGGGATATCAAAATACAATGCTCTAAAAGCGTTTCACTGTTACGAGACGCAGAAAGCAGGAATTGCAGCACCGCTACCGGTAGTACTTGCCACTGCTGTCTCCCATCACGTGGGCGAGGTCAACTTCCGCTGTCTTGCGCTCATAAATGTCTCTAAGACATGATCCGGAGCTTCGTTCTACAGCGAGAGACTAGTGATCTACGTGGACGCGTCTCGAAAAGCTCAGGGGGCTTCCAAGTGCTTCAAATTCATCAATGGATAAGTTGTAAGTCTATTGGTTAAACCGCCCTCTTATATCGCCGCACAAAGCGCTTTAGATCTCTATAAATTTCTCGAGGCATGCTAAGCAGCTGCTTCCACTGTATATCTATGGTATTCGATTGCCGCCTCTCAATCCGCAAGCAAGTCCACCCCCACCCCGTTCAGCGCTTCGACAGCCCATGCCGGGAATTTAGTCTTGTCCGGGTAGAGCTTTCCAAAGAATTCCTTCACAAATGCCGGGTACTTGTCCTCCAGGATAGCCTGCCGAGCTCGCTGCATGAGATTCAGCTGGTATTGGACATTGTGTATCGTGAGCAGATGTGCTCCGGCGGTTTCTTTTGCGGCGACGTGGTATATGTATGCTCTTGTAATGCCTAGGCCTCCATCTTCCTTCGGTCTACAGCATACGCAAGTGCAGCCTTCTTCCACGGGAGTGAAGTCGTTTTGGAAAGAGGCGTTGCGCAGATTCAGGACGCCGGTGGAAGTGACCGCGTTACCAAAGCGCTACATATATTGTTAGACGCCGAAAGCCAGGACAAATTCTCGAGATTGTGCTTACAGCAGTCCTCGTGGGCCAGACACAGTCGAACATGTCTGCGCCGAGGGCTATGGAGACAACTAGGTCTTCAGGGTAGCCCTGCAATCTATTAGACTGAGGTGCGATCGGAGGGCTCTGGATATACTTACGACGCCCATGACATATCTAGGCTTCTTCTCCGGTAGCAGGCTGGTACATGTGTCGACTCTGGTCTAGTTGTTAACAGTGCTCCAAGGCCGAGGTGCCATTTCACAGGCGTCCTACACTTTGCAGTATGCCGCTTTTTCCTCGCCGCCAGAAAGGCCACCGATGGCAATCCCAGGTGTATCCCGCTCGACCATCTCCTTCGTGCACCGCTTCCTCAAGTCTAGATCCAGGCCTCCTTGGATGATGCAGAACAAATTCTGCCTCTCCGGGTATTTGTGTGCCTTGATGCAGCGATCCAACCACCGTACCGACCGGTCCATTGCTTCCTCCATCCGCGCAAGATCAGGCGATGTAGTCGCAATGACGTCGTCCAGTTGCATGATGATATCCGAGCCGATAGAGTTCTGGAGGGAGATGGAGTGTTCGGGGGTTAGGAGCCTGATTCCTCTGTCAGGTCCGCAGGGTAAGATATATTCAGGGCCCTCACATTGGTGTCCCATCGTGCGGGCTTAAGAACTTGACCCCCTCCTCCGTAACCTTTGCAAGTTTCAAGAGCGACACCATTTGGAAGCTGACTTTGGCGTCAGCTGTTGTTCCCTCGTCCACGAATTTGACAGGGTCACCAACCCACCACTGTCTGCAACAATCAGCTACTGCCCCCAATTTCAAGTCTTCGGGATCGAGGGGACAACACCTGTGAGGATATTATGCGGCCATGACTGGAACTTGTGGGCGCCGCCTATCGCGTCGAGTGTTGCTTGTCCTGGCTTCAACCCTCTTCCACCACGGTCAGAATTGTCTACGGTTCTAGTAGTTCGCTGGAACGCCTCACAGGTGGTATGTGTTGTTCAGACATAGCCGACATCCTGTCTCTTCTAGTTGTTCCGGTGTGAGGCCTTTCAGAGAGGCCTGGGTAGCCACGGGCATGAAGATCGGGAGGGGGACGGGACCGTGGGGGAGGTGGAGAATTGCGGCTCGTGCTTTTGTGACCTACATTGCGGTTTAGCTATCTATGGTCCTACAGTGAACAAATCTCGTACCGAGCATTTTGCAAGTAGCTCGTACGAGAGGGCGGATGGCATAGGTGCCATTGTGAGTGGAGAGGTGTCTGAAATGTGGTGGAGGGACGGGCTTTCCCGTCTTAAGTTGCTCCGCCCGCAACCTCACATCTTGCTCACTCCTCAACCACAGGACGTCGCGTTCGGCCTCACTCTTCATCAAGATTAGCATCTTAAGAAATACTGCTAACTTCACTGTACGCTCCTCGCGGAAATATTGAGTACTGCGTCCTTTCTAAGCCCACTTAAGGGATTTCTGCCGCGCCCAGCTCTACTTGCAGTCTAGGACTGCACAGTTTCTTCCGCAATATTAGTTGCAAAGCAACTCTATAGCTTGAAACTCTAGACTACCCTATTGCAATTATATTTATATTACTGCGTAACTATGCAAATTGCTTACGCACACTTCTAAAAAGAGGAAACAGATAAAACTTTGCCCTAATTTGCAACTTTCTTTCCTATTTTTTCTTCCGCGTCCTGTAATCTTACTACCTCCTCACCTCTAAACCTTAGCCTGTCGAGATAGGCCTCACTTTATGTAGAGAGAGGCATCCTAGCTAAGTCACATGCGTTCAGTCCCTTCTTTAAGTGAAAACCTCTAATTTCTTTAATTTTATTAACATCCGCGAAAATCTCTATTCTAGCTATAAGGTTAGGCCTTTATATCTATATTACGTGCTTTAGCACACTCCTAGAAGTCTATACGCAACGTATTTCTACTCTTATAAGTAATAGCTAACACAACCAGGCCACCTCACCCCGCGCCCACCGGATGCCCACATTCTCAACCCGCACCGCATCCCCCAAGCTCCTCTCCCCCCCGGCGGCCCCCTCTTATTCTACAAGTACCGTCTAAACCAGCCCTACTTCCATCAATTACAAATGCTCTCTTGGCTTAGTGGTAGAGCGCGTGATATACACGCAGTTACGGATCACTGTAACCTCGTTCTGGCTTCGGCTGGGACAGAGTTCGTAATCTTAGGGCTGTAACTATCACGAGATCCTCGGTTCGAATCCGAGAGGGAGCGTGTTTCTTTTTTGCCGCTCTGTGGTGAGTGGGACCCTCTTTCGTGCCATTTGTTACTTATTGAGACTACTCTTTTTGGTGGTATGACGGGCCAGCTCGGCTCAGTTCTACACGGGGTTGATACCGTCTGAGGTGGCCTGGAGGGCTGTCATGATCATGGAAACTGTGGTTTTACGGGTTCTAAAAAGGTGCTGGAGGACTCCAAACGGTGTTAAACCAGTGTGCACAGCAACTCCGACGCAGTCGAAGGCCGCAGGGGCTACAGGGCTTTGAGAGCGTCTGAGATGGCCCGCAAGGCTATCACAATCACCGAAACTGTGGTTTTACGGCTTCTGAAATTCTACTGGGGGCCTTCAGACGGGGTCAAGCCATTGTACACAACACGGTCCTCGCATTGGAATACTATAGGAGCTACAGGGCCTTGACGCCGTCTGAGGTGGCCCAGAAGGCTACCGGCCTTGGGGAAACTGTTCTTTGGCAGCTCGTGAAAATGTGCTGAGGGGCTTCAGACGGTATCAAACCAGTGTACACAAGCATGAAGGATGGGCATGTATCAATATAATCTATTGGGAATGATACGCTCCATCAAGGAGTCACATACCACACCGAAAGGGCAACTAATCATACAAGAAGCAACGCTATGCAGATGCAAATGCAAGAAAACCACCGCAAGACACGCCCTCCCTCAGATCTGCTGCACAAACTCAGGTCCAAACTCCGCCACCGAGTCCCTAAACTTCGCAATATCAACCTTCGAATCCTCAATCACCGCCAGCTTCCCGTCGGCATCCCTCTTGTACGCCAACAGCCCCGTCCCATTGTTCTGATTCGTAGAGAACAGAACATCCTCCTTCCCCAACGCCAGACTAAACATCCGTGGCGAAATCCCATAACTACTAACCGACTCTCCAAACACAAGCTTCGCCGTGCCCGTCTGCTCATCCCGCTCCAGCGTGAAATGCACAATGCTATCGGCCGGATTCCCCGTCAGCCGATTCGACACATAGATATCCCGCTGGTTACTCGCAACAACGCACTCCCCAGCCGCCGCAAACGTCTTCGTCGCATCCGCGACCGTATCGGTCGGGTTCTTCGACGGCATGTCCTTCCCAAACGTGCTCTCAGTCTGCACATGCGTGAGCTCCAGCGCCTTATCCGTGTACGCGACGCTATACAGCTGGATCACGTTCTTCAGCTCGCACACAAACACGAAGTGCGTCGCCTTATCGCCGGTGCAGCTCTTGATGAAGGTGCCGTGGCGCGGGCCGCAGCCGTCGGGCTCCACGCGGACTTTCTGCACGACGTTGAAGGCGTCGGCTTTGGAGTCGATGACGGAGAGGGTGTCGGCGCCGCGCTCGGGCACGATGAAGAAGCGGCCCGAGGGGTCCAGCACGGCTTGGTGGGCCTGCACGGCCGTCTGGAAGAGGGTGTTGCCGCCGAGCTTGTCGTCGAGCTTGGTTGTTTTGAGGAGTTTGAGGCTGCCGTCGCTGGCGCTGGTGTCCCAGGCGTCGATGCTGCCGTTTGTGAAGCTGGCGCCGACCATGTGCGACTGGTCTTTGTTGAATTCGAGGAAGACGACGCCGGTGCTGCCGGCGTTGGTGGTGATGTTGTCGAATTTGTTGGTCGTGCGGTCGTAGGTGAAGAGGCCGATCGTGTTGGCGTTTTCGTTGACGGTGTAGAGGAAGTTTGGTTTCTTGAAGACGGCCCAGCTGGGGTTTGTACCGGCGGTCACGATCTTGTTGGTTATGTTGAATGCGGAGCCATCGAAGTCGACGGAGCTGATGCGGCCGGGGCCGGAGGTTACGATCAGTTTGCTGTGGCCTTTGGGAAGGGAGTCGGTGGGTTGGGGGGCTTTGATGGTAGGGTTGGTGGTGGCCGTGGCGGAGGCCATGCCAAGAGAGAGGAGGAATGCGAAGGAGTATTTCATAGCGTTCGTTTGTTTGGCCGTGTTGAAAAACAGGAGAATAATGTAGAATGAAGGAAGTCGAAGGAAGTTGAAGGATAAGAGCAGGAAAGAAATAGGGCAAGGAAATGTCAAGCTTTGTTGCTGTTGATGACTGTAGAAGAAAGGCGTAAAGCAATAGTTATATGCTCATATTCATGCAACACGATGGCTCAGCTTCCAAGCTTGCTGAGTCTTGCCAAGGAAGGAATTGGTCTGTGGTTGACCGTTTTTGGCCCGTTCCTGGACCTATACGAAGAAGGCAACAGTTCACGGAGTTGTAGTGACTGGGGTTTCGAGTGCATGTTGACTCTGCAGGCACCTTCCACAGTTTTGACTGCAAGCTCCTCGCCCCAAAGGATTCGAAGGGGATGTGGGAAGGGTTTCATGAGTCTGCGGCGTCGAAGTTGTGTTTGGGTGTCGGGATCAGCCGTTGGCTGTGCCGTTTCTGTGACTGCGCATAGCTGGCGCCACTCCCCTCAGCCCCCAAGCAGCCGGAGAATTTGGGCGCCAACTGTTGGCTGCGGTGTGAAACGCCAAGATCAAGTTTACAGCCTTTCGATTTGCTGACGAGCACTAAAATGCTTGGTGCGCTCCGCCTCATGACAGGGCGGGAACGGCCGTGCATAGTCGTCGTCTCCTTCGTACCCAGGTGCAACCTCACACCGCTTTCTTCGTCTGTTACAGTTCCATAGCCCACGCAGTGCTACGGAGATGAGAGTGGGCGTCGATACAGTGTAGTGCTTGTAGCGTCTCTTATACATGTAAGTCGACCTCGTTCTCACCTGATTGACTTTTTTGAGCTGGCAACCAACTAGATTGTCTTTCCAAAATCATAAACTGCACACATTCATGTGGAGTCCTCCCGAGTAATCACTTTAAATCCTGAGGCGCGCGTCTAGTTTCAAAAGGAATACCCTGCTAGGATTTTCCCCGAGCCTGGAGGTTCATTTCAGAGTCTATACGAATGCGAGTGTGGTATCTCCAATGGACGACCGAAACGCGATGGAGCCAGCAATCTGGCGACCGTGGATTAGGCTGATAATTAAGCATCATATCAGTGATATCGAAGAAAGGCGCTTCGTCTTGCATCTCAAAGTGCGGGGTTGAGAGAAGAAATGTTGTCCATATGAGCCGGATTGAAAAACAGACAACTTCACTAGGTCCATAGCACGAGTCGCCTGAAGCCTATGGTTTTCTAGTGTTGCCTTCCCGCAGAGCTTTCAAGCGTCTGAGCTAGAACGGCTTTCCGGAGTCGTCTGGAATACATGAAATGACATAAAGTAGATGGTTTTGCACACGCCATACCCTGGAAGCTGGCAAAAGTATTACAACTCCCCATTGCACCATAAGTCTAAGGAGACTTCAGTCCGCCAACGTGCATTCAGTATCCATTGCTGGGAGCGTTTGTCCCGCGACTTTGGTCTCCGTCATCGAGCGGCAGTCGGTGAGAAATAATGTGCCTACTGAAATCGCTAAATCGCCGGGCTGCCGAATCTGGCCATCCGTCCTTAGTTCGTCTGAGGTTTTTATGATTCATGATTTGCTTAGATGGTCTGTTGGATCTGTCCCGAGAGGTAGTCATTAGGATCTAATCTTGTTTGGCGCCTTTCTTCAAGAAAAGAAAAGCCGAACATGGAAGTTTTGGCAGTACTTTTCCGGGGCCGGGAGGTCGCTTATATGAGGACAAAAAGTGGTCTGCGGGGGAGGTGCCTGGAAGATGTGAGACGAAGTAACTCAAATAGGGCGACTGGCTGAATATCCTTTAGTACCCACAACCAGGACCGTTTTGTCGTCCTCTCTCGAAGCCCATGTAGATGAAAATGAAAGGTATCCTTAAATATGTTCGGCCCTCGATTGTACAAGAACCTTGGAGGATGAGCCTTCAGCCGATAACCTCGTGAACTCTAAAGCTAGGCATTTTATCAAACGTCTTAAAGGAGGTCAAATCGAATTGACGTGCTCCAAAGCCACCGTATTCGACGAAACAGAAGTATCATGCGCAACATGAGCCTCTTACATCAATTCAGCAAGTCATCTGGAGGCAATTCGGTCCGAACCGAGAGTTCGTGACGGGTTGATTCCGATGAAGAAGGTCTGCCGAGTGAAGGATGCCGAAGGGATCACCGCGTCTCGAGGTTCGACAAGGCTAGCTCGCACTTCTCTCCATCAAAAAACCAGGTTCTCACAACTCTCTTTTCACCGCCACGAGTCATCGTACTTGCAAAGAACTTAAGTTACGATTCAATGTCTTGCGATCATTAATATCTGACGACCTCTTGGAAGGTGTGCCGCGACCTTCACTCTTCGGGCCCCCTCCGGCCCCGTCAGCAAGGCTTCGGCATTCCCAGTTCAGTCAAACTTCAGAGGTTTATTCCCGCCAGTCTCTCCGCACTCCATACTCCACATTTCGTTCCCCGCGTTGTTCGTCTAGATGGGATCTGGGGTACGTACTAAGCCGCGTGATGGAGACCCGGCTCTGGGATCTGGGGAAATCCTGGTATCCAAAGGTCAAGCCTTGGTATATAAACTTCTCCGTTCCCTTTCCTTAATGACAATCCAGGCCCTTCTACTCTGTCCTTGAAACACGTTGTCTGTCTTCCGATTGATATACCTGGTCTATCTCTCGTTGCATTGAACTATCCGGCCTCACGTCTAGTGATCACCCTAGGGTCCGCTATAATGATCGAACTAAGGGGCAATACCCTGATCACCGTGATATTGCTCACGGCGGGGTTCGACTTTATCTTACTTGGTTATGATCAAGGTAGGACCTCCGTCATTTGACCACGACGTCCTCTGACCATCGTCTTTACAGGGCTATTCGGTGGCATTCTCGCCGGTGAGCGCTTCACGGAGATGCTAGGCCATCCCACAGCAACTATGCAGGGGCTGGTAACTGGTATCTACGACATCGGATGCGCGATGGGAGCTGTTGCGGCCTTCTTTTTCAGTGAAAACTTCGGACGGAAACGCTCCATCATACTCGCCAACATCATCGTCATTATCGGTGCAGCAATCCAAACTGCCTCATACTCGTATGGCCAGATGGTTGCATC